GTTGGTAGCAATATTCACTGGGGGGTTTTTCATTATTTTCTATCTTTTGTTAGTGATTTTTGGTCTAACCAATTTAAGTATTCGTCTGCGGAAGAAAGCTACTCTAACTTCGTCTCCTTTCTTTCTGATCTGAAAATTCGTTGTACTTTTATTTCCCGTTAGAAAAGTATAGAGTCTCTATTCTCAAAGAACTTCGGATGAAGCTTTCGTATGCTCGGGCGTTATCGTGGAAAGCGAAACGCAACGGTAATATGCTTTTGAAAGCTAGAGTTAAAGAATTATGTAAGGAAAACAGAGAAAGTCTTCGCAGTTATCGTGACTTGCGACTGATTCAGTCGATGGATATGCGTTTCACAAGCTCCAGAAATTCGGTGACTTTTTGGTCTAAGTTGAGGAGAAACTTTAAAACAAGTTGTTCTTTGAAATCCTTTTTGTCAGATTCTGGCGAAGTTTGTAATGAAACTGATGATATGCTGCGTATGGCGGCGGATCATTACGAAAAATTATTTCAAGAGCCGGCCGTATACCGACCGCATCCATATACTGATTCAGTCGTGTCCGATTGGGGCAACGCGAACGAAACAATTCCCCCGATAACTCTTCCGGAGCTTATGAAAGCTGTATCCAAATGTAAAAGAAAACTTCTCTTGATTCCCATGGAAATTCTTCCTATATGTTTCAATTTATCCCCCTTCCGTATTGGATAGGCCTATTGAGAATCTTCAAGGCTTCGTTATCCTCCTTTATCAGTCCTACGTACTGGAAAGAAGTTAGAATGATATTGTTAGCTAAAAAAGAAGCCGTTTGTTTACCTTCAGATACTAGGCCTATCTCACTTCTTGATGTTTTTCTTAAAGTTTTAGAACGCCTGTTCGTTATCCGTTTCCAAAAGGTGTTAGAAAGCCGGGGTATTCTTCATAATTCTCAATCGGGCTTTCGGTCTAATTTCCGTCTCCAAACCCGGGTCCTCTCTTGATCGATCAAATCTCGTCACGCATGAGTAATAGCTCTCCCGTAGCAACTATTTTTGTGGATTTCAAACAAGGGTTCGACCAGCTGCGGTGGGAAGGCTGCCTTGGAAAATTGCGGCGTCTGGGTATTCCTACAGCCTTTGTCCAGTGGATAGAAATGTGGCTTAGCGGTAGAAGTGGTTTCATTGAGATAGAAAGGAAGAGGTCCCGTTCATTTCGAATTAAGCGCGGAGGGCCCAAGGGTTCTTCCTTCACTCCTTGCCTCTTTATCACATATCATTCAGATATGTGGACCTTTTTAGAATGCTCTACCCCAAAGTTTTTTGCAGACGACCTGGCAAGTGTATTGGCAGGTATGATCGGTGCCAAATTCTCGCGTCAGTGTTTGGATTTAGAGATTAGACTAAAAAAATTCTTTGAGTGGCTGGAATTTTATTCCATCCTATCTGTACAACCAATCAACTATAAGAAAACCGAGGCGATGTAGACAGCTCATGCTCCCGGGAAACCCAAGTTCGATATCTACTGCGGGGAACATAAAATAGAGTGGGTCTCATATTCCAAATACCTAGGGTATTGGATAGCATCGAGGCTAGGATGGGGTAAAGCAATGATACGATACAAAACAAAAATCAGATAAAGAGTAGCTATAGCGAGAGCATGTAGATTCAATGGCACTTCTAATATCGAATTCAAACGAATGCTATTTTTCACATATGTGTTTCCCTTGTTCACCTGGCTTTTTGCCATCTATCCGCTCATAACGCAGTGTCAACAAGCGGAGGTGGCACATTTTTATTATTCGTGTTTACGTCGAGTCTATGGAGTTTTCTATTGGAACGATACAGTCTTCTCCATTATGTATGATGAACGGTCTTTCGAAAACAGATGTTTCCAGTACTGGAGCAAGTTTTTATGTTCACTTGCTAATTCTATCGATGGATTAATGCTATATGAAGCTTATGTGCTAAATATATTTAGGGAGCAGTGGGTAAATAAAGCTTATGTAGTAAAAAGTTTACGCAGATCGAAACGAATCGTTCCTAATTTATCGGTTTTCCAAAAGTGTTTCTTGGTGTTCGGATAATGTAGAAAATTCGATACCCCAGATCGGAGAAGACGAGCTCGAAACGTTTATAAAATTTCGTGATTCATTTTTGTAAACGTATTGTGACTATATTTTTGGTCAGCAAACTAGTCTTTTGTTTTTGTTTTTTTTGTTTGTTTTTCTTTTGTTGTTTTTTTCTATCTTCGCACTATTGCTGACCTCAGTTCATGTTATTCACGCATCTCATGTAACTGTTTTAACTCACATAACTCCAATGATATCATTTTCTGTTTTTATTTCATTGTATTTTTATTTTGCTGTCTTATGATGGGTGTCCCGATAGGCCCGATGAGCAAGAATAAAGCTAATTATCATCATCATCATCAAAATTTTCTATTATAGTCGTCATCTTGTCCAAGTTGTTGTTAGTGCAAAAATCAACTTGAAATTTATGAAAAATAACCATATAATAGTATGTTTTCTATATTTCCTTATATTTGTGAGTCTGGTAGCCCTTAATGACAACAATTTGAGAATGATATATTTATACCATTTTGTAGAGCACGAAAAACTGCGTCGATCTACACTATTAGTTTTTATATTAGATTTACAAAAGAAAAAATGATGGGTACCATAGTTATTATCTAGAATACCAAAAAGTGATATACCCCCAAGACTATTTGATCTTCGAAAATTCTTTTTTACATTCGACGAAAATCAAAATAAATACCCAGAAATGTGCAGAATTTCATGCTCTATCTTTCTAGCCTATTGAAAGTGAGACATAGGGGAGTGGCGGATTTACGGTCTTATCCGACGAGGTCCTTTGTTTAAAAGAAGAGGGCAAGGCTTTTTAGAGAACTCAATTAGGTCTAAAAAGAGAACGGTTGACTATTTATGGTATAAATTTGGAGTGATTAGAGAATGGTCCGAATTTTGCAAAGAAAAAGCCGAAATGTTTCTGCTGTATCTGGTATATATTATAGATCGTAGTTTTGGATCTTTCTCTCTCAGTTTCACAATTCATCATGACTATTATATTATTTGTGGTAGCTAGTACTGAATTTGTATTCATACTCGTAGGTAAATCGAATGAAGTGGTAGTTGTTGCTGCTACACAATGTTGTCTATTTGCACTTAATTCTAGAACAAGAATAATTGAAAACAAACATAAAGACGATTCTTCAAAGATGTATAACCTTCCAAAACACGTTGAGTATCTGTCTGCTTTGGCAATTCTAAACAAGATAAATAATGAAGCTAATGATACCGAAGAAATTTGTTTTACCTGAACGACTATGGTTTTATGGTTTTTTTGTGTGTGTATCGGGTTCTATTTGTTCTCCGGCATCATATGACTCATAATCACCTTCAATATCTGTATTAAATGGCTTTTGCATCGATCATGCAATTTTTTCTAATTCGTGAAGTGTTCCTAAACAAATAGAAAACTAATAAAGGGAACGTAAACACTATAAGTCTAGTATGTCTTTGCCTGTATGTGCAATAACACCACTATAAGTTTTTGACCCAGATTTAACCATGACCATTCCTTCATGTAAACCTTTCTGACATTGTTTTTGTTTGACAATTGAGAATGAATTGTCAATAACCAAATGTTGAATCTCAGGTGTGACTGATGATTGTTCGATTTGTTGTTCTATACTGTTTCGCATAATTATTACTGTTATTGGTAGCCACTTCCAACATTTTTAAAATCTGAAGTATAAAGAAAAACATGCTTATTATTCGTCAGTTCGGGACAAAAAGAATGAGTCTATAAGGATAAATCAAAATCAAAATAAATGAGAAAAACTTAATCATGTTCAAAACCAACATGAATTTCTGAAATACAAAAAACATTTTGAAAATGGCACTCGAATGCATTTATGTCTAATTCTACTCATTAATATTATTGCGTATCTATTTGTTAATGTAACTAATGGGTATAATTCATTTCATTTTTCATTTATTTCATCTGTTATTGAAAGAAATTCTGATAATGGTCTTGTTGTTCTCTGATATAACTGTAAAAAAATAAAATATTCCTGATGATATGAATAAAATAGAACAATATCGCCGTATTCAATATTTTCTTCACCTGATTCAAATGACACGATGTAACTAATACAATTAAATGGCTGATCATATGATCTTGAGTGATAGATGATAAATTTATCTTTGTAACGTCTATATAATAAAACATTATTTTGTTGTTGACGTTTTACTCTAATCAGATTTGTTCATTGGTCACGATACGAATCAATAGATAAATGATTCATATCGATCTGATTCACTGCGGTTGATATCGGTATTTCAAATTTTGTTGGTTCACTCATACATTGTAAATTTGTCCAATAGGCAATCTGAGTAGCCAGACTTTTACTTCCATGTGCTTTTCTTTTGATAAATCTGATAGATGATTTAAATGAATATGCATATGTAAAGGCTAGACCACCATGTATTTGTGCTTGGTCCGCCAAATGTAAGTGAGCATGTAATGTTAATAATTCAATTCTTTGATCATATACAAGTGGTGCTTGTTCACAGTATCGGTCTATTAATTGTTCAGCGAGTGTAATTTCTTCTGGTGTCTTTGGACAGTGTAATAATTTAATCGCCATTGCATAAAGAACAAAATGTGATGCTACCAGCTGTGATAAATGAGGAATAACTAATGGTACACCAATATACAATACGACTAATCTACTGTTTTTTGCTTTCCATTGATCAGACATTAAAGTAGAATCTACATAAATAACATTCATATTATGTGGTAATTGAATTGCTTGTAATTGTTTATCTAGTTCATTAATTTGTTGTTTTGTTAATAATTTATAATTTTTAATTTTTTAATTCGTTTTATTAATTGTAGTACATGACCAAGGCAAACTAAATGCATATAATTGTAGATTATATCTTGTGGATATCTGAATATTTCTAATAATTGAGATGTTCTCTTCACACCATTATAATTATCGCGCGACGTCCAGCGAATTTTTTTTCTGCTTCACGAGCAGAAATGAGATGTTGTTCATGTGTTTATTGTGTATAATTATTCTTGTCATAAGGATATAACACCATACCACAATGTGGATTCCACTCACCTAAAAAACTTTTTAGTAAAAGCCTAAACTCCAACGAAAATTTGTCGGTCTTTGCTCATCGATATTGCTGGTATCTGTTTTGGGAGAAGTTTATACTAGCAAGTGTTTGCATGAACCTGTTTCAAAGAGAGTATGCAAGTCCGAGCTTAAAACCATCTTGGAGTAAAAGCAGTTCAGAAAAGGTATTAACGAAAGAAAAAATTGCACGTCGAACAGAAAAAAGATTTCATCTTACCTTTTGACCATTGGATACATTTTGGAAGAATTATAATTCTTCCAAAATGTACCAGAGCTCACATTCTTCGAATCGTTAAAGACTAGCACAACTCCAGCTTCTGATGACGAATAACACGTTTAAAAATTTTTAAAACAGCGGCACGGTAGCTTCCAGTACCTAGAGGTGCTCCATTTTTCAGCGGAGAGGCCATTCGCATTATTCTCTAACGAAATAATTTTTTGAGCTCGAATTGTCAGGTTAGAATGTATAGATGATGAAGATACGCATTCGACATGCCGAATGCACAGTGAATTTCACAGCGCATCTTTTTAAAAAAAACACTTATCTAAAGGAAAAAGATAAAAACAAGAAATATATAAATTAGTGACAGTACAATCATTCTTTTCAAAGATGCTTATGGCATAATAATGGTAGAGTCAGTTTGCGAATTGTAGAAACCGTACGAACTGAACCGCAGTTTTCTCAAACCAAATGAATCTGATAATTTTTTTAACTGACGAACTAAAAGCAAAGAAAAGTAATTCTTTATTTTTATTAATCAGGCTCTTCTCTACTTTTTCGTTCCCATCTTCATTTCCCAAGCAAAAGCACTTCAGCTGGAATATCTAGATGCTTTAGCTGGAGTATCGGTCGATATTTTGTACTCTTTTATTTAGGTATTCCAGCTAGAACATCGGGCGAGCTAACTGAACTGAATTTCCAGCGAAAACTCCATTAAGTGTTTCAAGGATTTCTAGTTCTATCTGGTCTCTCATTCTCAGATAAGGGAATAATCGTTAATAAGTGTCTGCGCATTAGTTGGTGTTAGAAAAATTAGATCAACGAACTTCATCTCTTGGCTACATCAGATTATAGTTACTGCTACTGAACAGTGGGCATTTTCCCATCGAGCAGGCGGATATGTGCGTTTTTTAGTTGAAGCAGAATTATTTTCGTATAATATTGCTTAATTATGTCTCACATGTTGATATAATTCAAAAAAATTAAAGCCGATAAGATCTTTTTTCCAGTGAAGAGTCACCGAGGGGAACACCTGCTCTAAAGTTTTGTCAAAACAGTTTTATTTGTAAAACTAACAAGTTATGCGCCATTCGACGCAGTTTCATGCGCCGATTCTAAATATGTAATTGGTTCTCAATAATTGTGTTTTTGACTCGAGAAAAATGGACTAATGATTTTGGAAAACCATATTAAAGTTCAGTAGAAAAACCACATAAAATCCCATTTACAATTCAGACTTTTCAAACAAAACTGAGAGGAAACGGATATGATACAGACCGTTTCTAGTATTATTCGCTTCAAAGCTGATAATCAGTCGGTCTGTGTCAGTTTATTTCTAAAAATCTTTTTAATTTTTCAATGATTTTTACTCGAATGTAACCTAAAGAATAACGAATATTAGGAAATTAAATGAATTTCTCAATTTGAACAAGCACAGCTTATAGTTACATTTCATATCCTCCCGAAAAAAAATAGTTTCACTCTCTATTTCTCATTTATTGTCACTATAAAAACACATTTATTTAAAACAAACTACATATTCTGAAAGCCCATATAGTTCTCTATCACCCTGTATATTGACTTATTTTCTTGCATTCATTTATTGAAAAATAATTTGAACACAATGAAGACACACTCATGTCCAGATTCCCACAGACTTGATTTATTTTTCTTTCGTCAAAAATAGTTTTTAAAATTTTTCGTTACTATAGAATGATCTTTTTGAAAAGGCAATTATAGATTCTGATAGAGCTTGAAATTCTTTATCACCCTGTCTATTTACTTACTTTCTTGCATTCATTTATTGAAAAATAATTTGAGTACAATGAAAACTTCCTCAATCGACAAGCACTAAAAATCTACATTTTTTTCGCTGTTCTTTTAATTATTACCCTCAAAGAAAGAAATTATTCCATTGTTAGTGTATGAAATTCTCTATCATTCTACGTATAATTATGTTGCCCTAAACTCGTTTTCTAAGATATTATTCGGATATCATGTATACATTTTTTGATAAAATTCTTTTAAAAAATAATTTTTTTATTGTTTTATTATTTTTTTAATTTCAAATTCAATATCAACAAGCACGATAACAAATTTTTATGCAAAAAAAGCAACAATGTCCAAATGATTATTCAAAGTTCTACTCATTCTAAACTTTCCCAGCCTTGAGTCGCTATTACTTGATAACAAACATCTTGAATATGGTCAATATAACCACGTATTACAGATTGTGGAATTTGATTCCAAGCA